TTTTTTTTTTTTTTTTTTTTTTTTTTTTTACTTTTTCCTTCGTCATAGAGATATATTATTCCTTTATCAACTCTCGGCTTTATTTCATTGTTCATCATCTGTTCTCTCTCTCTAGGGCCTGTGTTTGGAAACATGGACAAATTTGTGGGGCTGGGAGTATTTGTAGACACCTACCCCAATGAGGAGAAGCAGCAAGAGGTAATGGCAAGTGTCAGAGCTTAGGGCAGCCACATGGACGTCCCCGTCCTCTGCCTCAGGAATGCTGTTCAGGAGGGAACAGAGGGGCTAGGAAGTAAGGGGTTCGCTGCTACTTTCTTCATCTATTGAACTTCAAAAGTTAATGCCTTTCTCAGGGTTTTTTCTAGAGAAAGCTGTTCATGGTGCAGTCTTTTGGGAATGGCGTCTGAATGGGGGTTTTCTCTTTAGCATTAATGGTGTTCTGTCTTGTGCACATTAGACAGTTGCTGGAAGTGAGCATGCCTGTCTGGTTGGTGATTTGGCTACTAGGCCAGCATCAAAGCAAGCTGACTTTATGTAACTAAGCTCCCTGATGACTTAATACATCACTGCCATGTCCTCCTGCAGCTTGCTCACCCTTTCCAGCATCCCTTTCTTCTTCCTCTTCTCAGACCTCAACAGCCATTCTCTTCTCTAGGGAAGGCTATCAGAGGAAATGGGTGAAGGCTCAGGATTTTGTGGGAACCCAGTATCTGGCTGTTGACAGAAGCTTTTTGCTTTTTGTTAGCAGACCCTAAGGATTCTTTAATACTTTCCCAAAGTATTAAACTCCATGGCAAACTCCATCTGATTCAACGTGATCTCTTTTGCAATAAGAGATTCTTTAGTACTTTCTTACGTTAGCAACAGGTAGGTACTCTTTGCCTGATTGCCCTATCATCAGATGGTGGGAAAACGGTTATGACAGGTTGTTGCTGGGGATCCTGTAGCTAAATAATATTTAGCAAGAAAGGAAGGATTAGGAATGGAGGTAGGATTCACTTTATTTTTACCCCAAAAGTATATGAAAAATTTCAAACTTATAAAAAAATTGGAAGAACAGATCATTGTATATGCAACACCCAGATTCAGCAGTTTTTTACATTTCCCACAGAGTTCACCTTAGAGAATGTGGAAAGTGAAACCAGAGTTAGGAGAATAACCTTTTGTTGTGGGTCAGTTACAGTTTTTTGTAGGCCCCTCTTCACTCCACCGTCATCAAGCCCTGTCTAGGTGCCAGGCCCAGGGGATCTTGAGCAAGACCATTATGGTCCTTGCACTCAGCACTGATGTGTGAGAGTGCTGGTGGGTGAACTGGGGGATTCGAAAGGTAGGCATAGCAGCAGCCTCTAACCTGGGGCGGGTCTTGGGTGGTGGTGGCGATGGTGGCAGCGGTGGTTGGGGAAGACTTTTTCCAGGAAGTGACATTTACATTGAAGTTCACAGAATGAAGAACCAATGTTTCATGCTGAGGGAAAAGCATGTGTTAAGGTGATGAAGTAAGAGAAGGTACAATGCGTGTGAGGACAAAAAGGGGGATCAGAGAGAGATGAGGCTAAAAGGAGAAAAGGAGCCAGCAGTCTTGCCATGTTGCACAGTTCCAGGGGTCACCATTCACATTGCATTCTTTTGTATTAACACTGTTCTCTCTGGCATATTCACTGGCCACTGACATTGAACACTGTCTCCTTGGGTGGTTGGTGGTTTGGCTGTTTAGACCAGCAGCAGAGCACTCTGCGTGTATGTGACTCATCTCAGCGTGCACACGGTGGGGCCAGTTTCTCAAGGGTGGTGTTCCCGTTAAGGAGTCTGGACTGTATTCTAAGGGGGTAAGTGCATTAAAGGATTCTAATGAGGGGCTTGCCGTGACTAGGTTTGCAGTCATGCTAAGGAAATAGTGGTAGGTAGAAATGCGTCTGAATAAGAGGCCTGGACTTCAGGACCTGACTGGAGTTTTAAACCTGCCTCTCGTTTCTCCCAGAAGTGAATTGTTAAAACTGCCAGATACTAGTTTTTGAGAGGGCAGATATGATGGGCTTATTTTATAAGAAAAGTGGCTGTTAATCAGAAAAATTAGTTGGCGAATGTAAAAAGCAGGACTTTTCTGGCTAGCTGTTATGGTACTCACTCCCAACCCCACACTGGAATTACCTAGAGAGCTTTTAAAAAGACTGATGTCCATGCCCAATCTCAGAATCTGATTCCCTTTGTCTTAGATGAAGTTTAGGCAGCCTTACTTTTCAGAGCTCTCCAGGTGAGTCACATGTATAGCCAGGATTGAGAAGCCCTGGACCAATATTGGGTCCTTGTTTTCTTATTATTTATTTATTAAACAAATTTTAAAAATAAAACTAAATTTTGAAAAACGAATAAAAGCAGTTTTTGTTTACTGGGTGGCAATTTTGTGCTGGGCACTTTACAAATACTGTCTTAATCCTCATCAAATTTCCTTATAGTTAGTATTATTTTTCCCATTTTACCAGTAAGTAAACAGAAGCTTAGAGAAGGTAAGTACCTAGCTCAGGGTAACAGCCAATATAAGGTGGAATCAGATTTTGAACACAGGTCCAGCTGATTCCAGAGGCTGGACTTATGATCTTTTACCTCCCACTCACTGTTTTCTTCTGCCAGGTGGATTTTCTTGAGAATGGAGACATTTATTATTCTCATATGATCTGTGCAATTTCCGTTCTTAGAGCTTCTACTCAGTGCAGAGAGTATAGAAAGTGTACTCCTTTCTACATCCCAACGACCTGGAACTACCTTGGAGGCTAAGATCAGATGTGTTTTGTTAGCAGCATGGTTTACTATGATATGATACAAAAGGTGCCAGCCATTGTTCCATGCACTTTTACATGTATTATTTACTTGTCAAAACAGTATTTTGGGGTATATGTTATTTTTATCCCTACATCATGGGTAAGAAACCAAAGTCCAGAAAGGCTAAAAAATACTTGTTAGTGACACAGTGGTAGTGGGTTTGACTCCAGAGACCATGGTCTTATTACTTCGCTTTATTATTTTGAGCACATAAGGAGAAGAAGACAAATATGGTACCTTTTAAAAGCTTGCAAATGTCATGTGTAGATGTGCTGGATGAGGAGGACAAGGAGCCAGCAGGAGGGCTGTGGAACAATTCATCAAATCCCTAAAGCAGCTGTAGTGAAAACGTTTCTCTGGCTTCTTGTTTCCTTGTCACCAGAGTGCACATGACTTTGCTGCTGAACTCACTTCCTACCATGTCTGTCTATGAGGAACTATTAGGAAAATTCTACCAAATATGTAAAGTAGAGTTAATATAGAATTCTTCTCAAACCCTTACAAAATATAAAAGGAAAGGACACTACCAACTCATTCTTTGAGTTGGTATTGCCCTGATGCTAAAACCAGATAAAGATAGAACAAGAAAACTACCGCCTGGCCGATGTGGCGCAGTGGTTGAGTGTCAACCTGTGAACCAAGAGGTCATGGTTTGATTCCCAGTCAGGGCATATGCGTGGGTTGCAGGCTTGATCCCCAGAGGGGAAGGTGCAGGAGGCAGCCAATCAATGATTCTCATCACTGATGTTTCTCTCTCTCCCTCTCCCTTCTTCTCTCTGAAATCAAAACATATTAAAAAAGAAAACTACAGACCAATATCTCTTGTGAATATAGATGTAAAAATTACCAACAAAATACTAGCAAACCAAATCCAGCAACATATAAAAAGGATTATATACTATGACTGAGTGTATTTATCCTAGGAATTAATGGTTGGTTTAATATCTGAAAATCAATATGATAGATCATATTAATAGGATAAAGGACAAAAACCATTTGATCATAGCATTAGATGTAGGAAAAAGTATTTGACAGAATGTAATACCTCTTTGTGGTAATAAAAACACTTAACAAATTAGGAAGAGAAGGGAACTTCCTCAACCTGATAAAGGGCACCTATGAAAACCCCCAGATAACACCATACTTAATTGTAAAAGACTGAAATCTTTTCCTCTAAGGCCAGGAACAAGACAAAGACTCTGCTTTTGCCACTTGTATTTGACATAATCCTGGAGGTTCTAATCAGGACAGGCAAGAAAATAAAAGACATCTAGATTGAAAGGAAGAAGTAAAACTACTTCTATTTGCAGATGACATTATCTTATATATAGAAAATCCTAAGAATCCACAACTATTAGAATTAATGAATTCAGCAAGGTTGTAGGGTACTAGGTCAACATACAGAAATCAATTGTATTTCTTTTATAAATTTAAAATTTTTATCTTCACCCTAGGAGTGAGGATATTTTTTCCATTGATTTTTAGAGAGTGGAAGGGAGGGGGAGAGGAGAGGGAGAAAAACATCGATGTGAGAGAGACACATCAATTGATTGCCTCCCCACACATTCCCGGACTAGGGACAGGAATTGGACCTGCAACCCAGGTGCATGCCCTTGACTAGGAATCGAACCCAAGACCCTTTGGTATATTGGCCGATGCTCCAACCACTGAACCACATTGGCCAGGGCTTAGTTGTATTTCTGTATGTTCGCATTGAACAATCAGAAAATGAAAGTAAGAAAATTCCATTTACACTATCATCAAAATGGAATAAAATACTTAGACATAAATTTAACTAGACAACAAAATACTTAGAAATAAATTTAAAAAACATATTCTGAAAGCAATAATATATTGTTGAAAGAGGTTAGAGATCATATAAGTAAATGGAAAGACATCCCATGTCATGAATCAGAAAACTTAGTATTGTTAAGATGGCGATATTCCCCACATTGATCTACAGATTTGATGCAGTCCCTGTCTATCAAAAGCCTAGCTAGCTTCTTTGCAGAAATTGATAAGCTGATCCTAAAATCAATGAAAATTAAAGGGAATCAGAATAGGCAAAATAATCTGGATAAAGAAGAGCAAAGCTGGAGGACTCACACTTCCTGATTTCAAAACTTCCTGCAAACCTATCGTAATAAAACAGTATGGTACTAGCATAAGGACAGATCTGTAGGTCATTGGGATATAATTGAAAGTCCAGAAATAAATCTTCACATTTATGAGCAATTGATTTTTTTTGTTTTGTTTGCAATTTTGGATTTAATATTAATAGCTCAAATATTTAAGAACCTTTAAAGGTTATGATATAGTTAAACCCATTTGTCTTTCTCCAGTATGACTTTATCTTATTTATTTTATTATTGACAGTATTA